CAAGTAGTCAATTTTACAATATACCTACTAAAAACACTTAATACGTCATCCTTATCTATCTTACTCAAATCAAGGTACTTCATTGCGGACCGAATTTCTTCCTTCTGCATACTAATACCTTACCCTCATCTATCTTACTCAAGGTAGGGTGGTGAATTTGACCATATTCTAATCCTACTACATAATCCTCCGATTCATTTGCAGTACTCAACTTAATACCTACCTCATACTGCAGCTTATATTGTAACTCCCAGAAGTACTAGGGTCAGTTGCAAGTCCCATTACAGAAGGAGAGGTTTGTTGTCTATAACTGCTTAATGAGTAAAGCAAATGCACTTACCTTACATAAAATGAAGGTAGTGGTAAATGTTCCCATTGCTATCTTTTTAAGATATACAGATGAACTACAAAAACGCTGTTTTTTTGAAAACCTAGTATCTGCTCGCGATTGCTAAACAAGACTTCAAAGTTGAGGGACTTAGGGTTATTCCAAATTTGGATAGTTGAGAGAACCTTTGCTTGGGTTTATAACTTTAGGCGCATGAGTAAGGATTATGAACATTCGCCTCTTATCTCCAAGACCATTTTTTGATATAATTACCATTATGCTTAATAAATTAGCTACTTAAATGCTTTTAAGGTAGGTTCTCATAGCAATCTTTTTCCAGTCTATATAGGTAACTCAGTTACTACTGGTTTATTTCTGGTAGCTCCATCTTTTGATTCGCAATTTCCTTCTTTAAAATAACCTGATCTCCCATATACACAAACCGAAGCTATTAAATACTTTACCATCTCATTCGCTTCCATTTTGTCTTTTTGCGATTCACATCTTATGATAGTGGTAGAGATGAATTTTGAATTTAAGCCCAATTCGCCTTCTAACTCAACTATTTTTGCTTTCAGGCTATCATTTTCTGTAATCAACGCTTTTATTTTCTTCTTGAGATTGACGTTTTCTGTTATAATCCTTTTTTGTAGCACTGTTGTCATTTACCCTCTTCATACTTAGTTTCCTATTTCTTTGCAGTTTTACCACCATTGTAAATCCTCTTATCTCCGCAAAGGTTTGCTAATAAGCGCATGATCCTATAGGGCTTTGTTGCATAGCACCTTATAGGTATAAATTATAGTAAATTCATGCGACTAACTCAAGCGAGGTTTAATTAGCAATCACTCTGTTCCTACCACTATTTTTTGCTTTATATAGACATTTATCGGCACGCTCCACAAATAAATTAACATCTTTAATGTCAGAGTTGTGTACTTCTGCAGCTCCAATACTAACGGTTTTATTAATCACATTATCTAACAGTATAAAAGGCTGTGCAATAATAGTACGTATTCTTTCTGCAATAATATACGCATGTGACACATTAGTATCAGGCATGACAATAACAAACTCTTCGCCACCAAATCTGGCTAGTAGATCTGTTATTCTAATATTTTCAGAGATTCTTTTTTGTACTTGTTTTAAAATTTCATCTCCAGCATTGTGACCAAAATTGTCATTGACCATTTTGAAATAGTCTATATCTAGCATCAATAAAGATAAGTTCTTACCTTTTGCTATGGAATCCTCAACAATGTTTTTTAAATGCTTATCAAAATATCTTCTGTTATAACAATTAGTTAACGGATCTTTTATGGACATTTCCACGTTGTTAAATAAGTTCATTCTTAAAGCATCTTGATATCTTTTCCGCTTTACTTGAGAATTTACTCTAGCTATTAATTCATTCTCGTCTAATGGAACAACTAAATAATCATTTACCCCTATTTCAAGAGCCTTTATTAGGTTGCTTTTGCTCTGATCTTCGTCGGATAGAATTAAAATTGGTGTGTAACGCGTTTNTAACTTACTACGAAGTTCAGAACACAGACGTAACCCGCCAATTCCGTAAGTTGGCATATTGGAAATAATTAAGTCGTAATCATCTTTGATGTCAGTTACATCCATCAAATTACTTAATATTTCTATCGAGCGGAAACATTGCTTTGATAAAATTTTGTATATCCGCTTGGCTTGAGAGACATCCTCATCTATCACTAATATACGACCGTAATAGGTTTCACTTGAATACTCTATTAAACTTCTATCCATTATAATATTCATTTCCGCGTTAGTTTTATTTCTTAAAAGCAACTCATCTATGACAAATTTTAGTCGGGTCAATGATTTAATTCTTGCGGATAAAGCGGTTTCATCTATTGGTTTAGTTAAAAAATCATCTGCACCTGCATTTATACCCTTGACTCTATCTTCTGTATCATGTAACGCAGTTACCATAACTATTGGAATATGGGTCGTAACGGGATTATTTTTTAACTCCTTGCAAACCTTAAACCCATCCATATTTGGCATCATGACATCAAGTAATACAATATCTGGCTGTTGCTCCATCACTAAATCTATAGCTTCTTGACCGTCGTAAGCAGTGATAACAGTATAATACTCTGCTATAAGTTTAGCCTTTAAAAGCTTGACATTTGATAATATATCATCAACTACCAGAATTTTTGCTGTCATTGTTTTGATCAGGTATATTATTTACATTGTAAGAAGGATAACGTTTACCGTCTTTACCTATTATATAGGTTATCTCTTCGGTATTATATAAATCTTCAATTCCAGCATCTTTTAATAACTTGTTAGTTTTAAACTTTATATTCATAATACATCTATATGCCATCCTAATAAAATTAATAAAAACAGGTATTTTTTCTTTATCGAGCACAATTATACTTACTAAAGCGATAACTAAAATTTCTGACAAACCTATGCTAAACATTTTCCTTATAAAGTAAAGACTTCACCCTCCTAATTATAAATATCAATCTACTTAAATCAAGTTTAGAAGTAATCATCTCATTTAAAAGACTATTATGATGTTCTATGTGTCTTTTTTGATGGTTAATCCAGACCTTTACTGGATTAACTTTATGAGAGGATATTATAACTTTGATGGTGAGATTGTAATGATAGTCACTTAAATCATCTAATGCATCGCTAATCACGCTACGGTCCCAATATGAAGAGTGGCTTTTTACCTGCAAAGCAGCTTCCATAATAAGGTCGAATTTAAGTAGCAATTTTAATTCAAAGTATATTTTGCCCACATCAAGCACGGGTAAAGATGTCTTTTCAGAAATCAATATAATGTCCAGTGTGTAAGTAAGAACACTTAAATTGGCAACTCTTTTTGCTAAACTTTTACTTATATTAAGTTTTAATAAATCATGATTATAAACCTTCAATAAACGCTCATCTAAAATATCAACTAGATTTTTATCTAAAGTTTTAATAGTATCACGAAATTTCATAATTTCTGTTAACTCAGCAAAACCAAACTTGCCAAAATTTTTTACCAACCAAAATGAAACTCTACCTACAAATTTTTGTATATTTCTTACTACTGCTAAATACGTATCAACTTCCACAACTCCATCTAGTTTGTCAACTTCTTTCCAAAATGCGTCTAAATTATACAGGTAGCTTACTACAACATATATACTAGTTGCTTCATGCACTTTGATGCCAGTATTTTCAACTAAGTTATTAATGAATATACACCCCATCCTATTTACAACATCATTAGCAATACAGGTAGAAATAATTTCTCTACGAAGTTGGTGCTTAAAGATATATTCCTTGAATTCACTTACTATTCTCTTGGGAAAATAATTTAATAGATAGTTGTGAGAGAGAAAGTCCTTTTCAGGAAGGTTAGAATTTATAATTTCATTTTTTATATTTGTTCTAGCATAAGACATTAATACAGAAAGTTGAGGAGGATCCAACCCTAATAACATTTTAGCCATCTCTTCGTCAGTTGGAAGAAATTCTATACTTCTATTTAAAAGCCCAGATTTTTCAAGACTGATAAGCAGTCTGTGATGTTGTTCTAAGTGGTCTTTTGCCTGCATTACCTCAAGAAGTAATGCCTTTGTCTCAATTTTATTATGGTCGTTCAAAACTTTAAACGCAACTTCATCTACCATACTACTCAACATATCATTTCTTCCTTCTAAAGGAATACCTTTTTCTTTTATAACTGAAACAAGTGCAATTTTGATATTTACTTCTAAGTCAGAACATATAACGCCAGCTGAATTATCAACAAAATCTGCGTTAATATGTCCACCTTTATTAGCATATTCTATTCTACCAAGCTGTGTGCATCCTAAATTACCACCTTCTATAAACATAGAGGCTCTAACATCCTTACCATTTATTCTTAGTGCATCAT